GGGGGGGGGGGATCTGCACCCAGGCCGCCTGGCTCAGAGGGGACCTCCGCCCGCCGCACTGCACTGCTCGGCTGCGGAGCCGAGGCCTGCACACTCTTTAAAACAATGTGTCTCATGGGCCCGAAAACTGTGATCTCTGGAGAGAATGGTGATAACTGAGCACTTTCTGTGGCCTGACAGGTTGAGTCCAGGAGAAGGTGGTACTCTGAGATGAGGAAGGGCTGGTTCAGACAGACACTGTTGGGCAAAGGGCAATGGTGTCTCAGGAGAAAGCAGGGACAAGACCAGTCCCCACTTGTGTCTATATCCCTTCCCTCTACCCCAAACACCAGCCAGAAGGGGGGAAGTGGGGCCATGGGTCCAGCATAAAGCTCTGGTTGGGTTACTACCTGGCCTATCACATGAAAAGTCCTTTTACTAAATCTGACTGTCCCGGTTTAGCCCCGCTCCTTGTTTTACAGATGAGGAAACTGAGGCCCAGACAGCTTGAGGAACTGAGTAACGGCAGGGCCGAGACTTGAACCCAGACTGCTGACTCTTCGCCAAGCTCTTCAGCACGGCCTGGATCTGAATGAGGCAGAGGGCAAATGAGTTCGATTTTATTGCGGTTTTTTTGTTCTACCTCTATGCATGAAAAAACAAACCAACAAACTCCATGGAAAAATGAAGGTAGCATCATCGCCTACAAAAAAAACATTTTTATCAGGTTTCAAACCCACACAGCAGGCCTGACTTCGTAGGGACTATTTTCTGGTCAGTGCATTTCGAGACTCAGTTGCCTAACTTGTTCACAGAAAGGCGTTCTCCACCTTGACTCAGAAAGTGGCCTTTCATGTGGCTGAAGAATGAGTTTTACAAGCCCCCAGGGTGGGACTAAACGATGCCAGAGGCTAACTTCGTGGTTAGAAGCCTTCTGCTGGGGTCTCCATTTGTTCTCACCAATGTTCTCACACGTGCTCACAGCATTCCACAGAGCACGGTTCCAGCCGAGCCCAACTTGACCAAACTACCTCTACAGCAATTCCAAGAAAATGAACCCCTAACGCCACAATGGCAGCTCAGACCCAGGGGGATGGAGTCCGACGCTATGGAGTCCAGCCAGCGCCAGGTATCAGAGTGTGAGTTATGGGGCTGGCCACAAAAGACGAGGAAAACAGTCTTTTTCCACGACCCGTGGCCCCCAGTCAGTAAAGACACTGAGCCCAGACACACCTCGCACCTATATTAAGAAACTGTGAAGCCCGGCCGGCGTGGCCCAGCAGCTGAGCATCGACCTAGGATCCAGGAGATCGCAGTTCAATTACGGTCAGGGCACAGGCCCGGGTTGCGGGCTCGATCCTCAGTGTGTGTGTGTGTG